ACATTTGACCAGTAAAAATTTATATTCATTTTCCTCCAATAGGCTTAACAGAGAGTAAACTAATGGGGGTTGGGGGAAGGGAACAGTGGAGGGTAACAGGGACACATGTTATTGGGAGTGCCTAAGCAGCGTCAGATTCCCAGTAGTGACCACTGCTAGCAAATTTTTCTTCCTTCAGTCCACATAAGGTTGGAATTACCTGATGGTTTGTGGTTGCAGAAAACTCAATTCAGCATTCTCCAAGAGAAACACAAGAGCTGATGCTCTGCTCCAGGCTTTTATACTAAAATACAGTATAGATGGCTATCAGTACTTCCACCTTTGTTTCAAACATAAGCAACTTCTTGATTTTCAGGTAAAAACATGTTTTTCTACCTTTAAAATTTTTTTCTTAAAAACAATATGTTCAAAAAACAAGTTGTACATAAACATGTTTATGACATTAAGAACAAAATGTTTTTTCAATTTGACTAGGTGGGGTGAAAACACTGTCAAAACATCTCACTTTGGGGGGTGGGGAATAGATGAAGCATTCTTTACAAATTTACATACATCACAATCACCAATCATGAGCTAGGCATTTATAAAGGTAATCTCATTTAACACTCAACCCCCAAAGAAATCTTGAAGTGGCATTATGATGCTCGTTTTGCTGATGAAAAAAACAAACTCAGAAAAGTCACACCATTACCAGGTAAAACAACAGCACTAACAAAAACAAGATGGGAACCCAGTTCTATCCGAATAAACAGCACATTTTTATATTAACTACTTTTGTTTCTCTTTACGTCATGCTGTCTTACGTCTTATGACACCTAGGCTGGTCCAGGTGAAACATGGGTACATATTACGTATTATTCTGGGACACCTGACATTTTAGAGCGAAGTCAAGGGAAAAAAATATACCAAGCCTTAGCCTGGGTCATGAAGGTAGGCATGGAACATTCCAACTATTAGATAATCTAAAAGCAAATAATTTTTCATCAAAAATAGATTCTGCTTTGAACTTATTTATTTTTGTCATTACCACTGTCCTAGTTATCCATGTTTAGAATCCTTATACTTAAGGCATAATCAGGGAATACAAATTAATAATGTGATAAGGGCTATGCTAATTATATGATCAACACTTAGAAGCACAAAAAAATTCCAGAATTAATTCTGTGGGGTGTGTGATTTGGTGAAGCTTTTCAGAGGCAGTAATAAACAAGCTGGGCATTGACTGAGTCCTGCCATGCCCAGAGAAGTAAGGGAAAGGGCTTCTGAATAGCAGAAGTCTGAAAATACATTTATTCTTTCCCTCTATATCCGACAAGTCACCAGCTTGTCTGTTTCTTCTTCTTCTTCTTCTTCTTCTTCTTCTTCTTCTTCTTCTTCTTCTTCTTCTTCTTCTTCTTCTTCTTCTTCTTCTTCTTCTTCTTCTTCTTCTTCTTCTTCTTCTTCTTCTTCTTCTTCTTCTTCTTCTTCTTCTTCTTCTTCTTCTTCTTCTTCTTCTTCTTCTTCTTCTTCTTCTTCTTCTTCTTCTTCTTCTTCTTCTTCTTCTTCTGTTGTCAACACCACACTCTCCCAAGTGAGCTAACCAGCCATCCCTATATAGGGATCCGAATCCGTGGTCTTCATGTTATCAGCACCACACTCTCCCAAGTGAGCCATGGGCCAGTCCTACAATATTTTTTCTATATACCCTTTTCCCACTACTAATCCAATAGTTATGTATAAGAGTACTTAGAAAAGTTCAAGGCAAGATTCATATTATCTTTTAATGCTATTTTTCTACAAACATTTTGAAGTACTCTTGCATTACTATGAAACCTGATTTAACAGTTTTTTTCCTCCCTTTAAATACTCAGACACCACTAACAGATTAACTTTCTTAAAATATCTTCTTTTAAATGACCATGAAATTTTCAGAAGCTCCCACTGCCTCTGAAATATAAAGTTCAAAATCAGGGCTGGCCAGTTAGCTCAGTTGGTTTGAGTGTGGTATTGTAACACCAAGGTCAACACACATACACACACACACACACACCCTAAATCTCTCCGTAGACAAACACACACACACACACACACCCTAAATCTCTCCGTAGACCAACCAAGTCAACAGTCACAGTGTGGGCTCAACAGATGAAATAACTCAGTGTGGTCTTCAAGCATAAAGCAATCAGCAAATGTTACTGGTCATTTATTGAATGGAAAAGGCAGGGCCTCTGGAAAGCATTGGAAAGACAGTTTTGAGACAGTCCCAAATCTCTAGAAGTTTAGAGTATGATAAATGAGAGCCAGACATGGACACAGAAGGCTAACATTAGAAGGCATCTGTCCTGTAAGCCAGATCATAAACATATGCAGTGTTCAGAGGAGGGCCAGAGAAAGGGTTTAAACCGGACCTTGATTAACTATATAAATAAATTCTTGGGCCGGCCCGGTGGCGCACTGGATAGTGCGCCGCTTGGGAAGCGTGGCGGCGCTCCCGCCCGAGGGTTCGGATCCCACATACGGACCGGTTCCCGCTCACTGGCTGAGCGAGGCGCGGGAGCAACGCCGAGGGTTGCGATCCCGTTGCCGGTCCCCGGTCCGGTACGGGGGCAACACTGAGGGTTGCGATCCGTTGCCGGACACGGAAAAAGACAAAAGACAAAAATAAATAAATAAATAAATAAATAAATAAAATAAATTCTTATGTAGTTTGGTCTTCAACTCAACTTAAAATTAGAATGAACACTGTTAGAGAGGGCTTGTTCATTTCAACATCCACTGAGCACAATGTGCTGAACAGAAACTTAGTATTCTACATGAAATAGGAGTAAAGGGCAGAACTTTTCTTTGCTCTTAAGCCAGTCTCTCTCCAAGTAGACAATTAGGATCTCTGACACATAACAGGCAGTCAAAACAATAAAAGAATGACAGAATTTTGCTAGTAGTTAAATAGAAGGCCAGAAAAAAAGGGAGTAATTCATGATGGAATTTAAAAATGTACTTCACAGCTTCTATATATCTGGAGATGTTATGAAAACTTTAAAGGCATAATTATTGTATAGGTGTTCAGGTAGTTAAACAGAAATGTAACACCAGAAAAATACTCTGCTCCTGATTCAATTAGTGCTCCAAATGCAGCCAGAGTGATTTTTTTCAAAACAAAAATGTAAGCTTATTATCTCTTAATTAATTCAATGGACCCCATTTTTCTTAGGATAGACAATCTTTCCTTAACAGGCCTATAAGATCTTGCACGGCCTGACCCCCATCTATCTTTCCAGCCTTTTACTTATCCCCAGCATCATTGGCCTTTTTTGTTCTCATTTTCTGTGCTGTAGTTAATTCCTACTTACCATTTGGGTCTCAGCTCAATTGTCACTTGCTACAGCAAAACCCCTATTATGGTTACTTATAGTACCCTGTACTTCTTCGGAGCATTTATAACAATTTTAGTCTTATATTTCTATGATTACTTAATGTCTAGCTCTACCATAGACTATAAACTCTATAAAGGCATTGATTTTAGTTTAAAATTTTCCATAGTCTGTAAAATATTATTAAATAAAATTTACTCACACACATATACACAATTTTTTTTTTTTTTGAGGGGGTGGCTGTCCAGTACGGGAATCCAAACCCATGACCTTGGTGTTAAGGCTATATATAATTTTAAATAGTTCTAGCCTAAGGGATAAATTCAGGAATAGCAGCACATGTCCTCTCAGGCATTACTACAGGTTGGGCATCCCTAATCCAAAAACTGGAAATCTGAAATGCTCCAAAATCTGAAACTTTGAGTGTCAACATGATGCTCAAAGGAAACGCTCATCAGAGCATTTCAGATTTTGGACAGGGGATTCTCAACTGGTATGTATTCTGCAAATATTCCAAAACCCAAAAAAATCTGAAGTCTGAAACATTTCTGATCCCAATCATTTCAGAAAAGGGATACTCAACCTGTATTTTAAAACCTATAAGGGCTGGCCCGGTGGTGCACTGCTACAGTGTGCTGCTTGGGGAGCGCGGCGGCGCTCCCGCTGAGGGTTCGGATCCCACGTGCAGACCGGCCGCTCACTGGCTGAGCGAGGTGCGGGAGCAACACCGAGGGTTGCGATCCCGTTGCCAGTCCCGGTCCGGTACGGGCGCGACACTGAGGGTTGCGATCCGTTGCCGGTCACGAAAAAAGACAAAAAAGGAAAAAAAAAAAAAAACCTATAAAATACCTATATTTAAACAACAAACTAACCATTCTAAGCTTCTGTTTGTTTATCTGTAAAATATGGACAACCTTAAATATGAGTTGCACATATTAAGTAAAAAAACATACATAATATATGGTACATGGCAAATGCTAAATAACTGGTCCCTATGAATAATAATAAGCCCTATTCCTAATTAATTCATGTTTCCCCAAACATTTGATTTATGTCATAACACAGAACAATTCTGATGTTATTTCAAGCTGGTTACAAAGATTCTAAGACGAATAACAGAGATTCAAGAATTGTTACATCTTTTATTACAATTTTTAAGGTGATTTATCATTCTTATCATTTTCCCCCTATTATTTATTATAACCCAGATTTCTTTAATATTTTTAAAGATACATACAACCATTGAAATATGTATTTAAAATATACAGATACATAAAATTTATCTTAAAGGGCATACTTTGTTTCGGTAGCCAATGACCATCAATCAAATGAAGAAAAGAAAACTAATTTCATGAAGACAGACAAATCTATGGAGTGGTTTACTGGAAGTGAAGAATGAGATGGCTCAAGTAAAGCAACTTAGAATCATTAACTACAAAATGTCAAACTGCAAGACAAGTGTACAAATGAGACATTAAGGAAGTTCTGAAATGTTATATAACTTTCTTTAGATTTTGTTACTTTTTCAAAATTGTACGTAAAAGTTATAAAAATCATAGTAATAGTTAAAAATAACAATCTATTAAAGTAGTGATTTGCAATACAAAGTTCTATTCTGATACTCTTCTGTCTTCAAATCAGTTGCTGTCATCTGGGGTACTCAGTTGAATTGTGGTTTGAACTTCCTCAACTTGACAAGAAAAGCTAATTTAAGAGGGGAAAAAAGTAGAAGAAAAAACATCATTTAATATAAATAGTCTGAAAACATTACTCACCTGTATGACCAGTTTGCCAGTGTTTAGGTCTAGCAATATAGGGAAATGATCCATATGGAAAATCAGAATGTGATTCTTCTGTTGGAGAACAAAATATGTACTATAAGCCACACAAAATATTTTATAAATTGTTCACAAAAACTGTTAAAATATAAATTACTGTCCCTTTACTCTAAGTTTCGTTCAGACATTTTTTCTAGTGTTTGTTCTGGAGCTACTCTGCCTGTTATCGTATAGAAATAGTTTGTCAATGATTACATGATAAAGTTATATATGGCTTTATAACCAAATGGATAAGCCCATATCATAAATCAATGGATATCTGAAAACTTGTTCATGGTTTATATAATGCGTACACACAACAAGGACCTACTCTTAGTTCTTTGAAGAATCCCAGCAGCATTTTAGAAGTTGCTTTTTGAAATACAAGCTATTGGCATAGCAGGTCTTATTAAATTCATTTTCTTCACTAATGATCACTGATTTAAATTAAAAACATTCCTTAGTGTATTTAAATTATTTCACAAGCCAAGATCCTTGTGATGAAGAAAATATGAATATTATAAGAAGCTCAATTCCTCAAAGATACCAGAGTTTTACAAAAAAAGCAGGAAAAGTAATTGTTCTATCCCTTAGACATTTTCCTTTAAAAATTAAATATCACATTTCAATTTCTATTGGGGAAAAAAATCCCTGAAGAATATTTTTATAATCTATTGGTCAGTACACTCAGGAACCCATTCTCCATTTATTACTGCAAACACATGAATAAAATAAAATCAAAGCTCACCATGATCATCCTCTTGAAACATCTCACCTTCAACTCCAATTTTCTTTTGAGAATGTAGTTGTAAATTTGTGTAGATTTTAGGTTTTAGTTTTTGAGATAAAATTCCATTTTTTTGTTTTGCAAGGCAAACCAACCAATCTCTGACAATGACCTCACTTATATTTTCACATGAGAGTTCACAGATGCGGATTCCATCTAAAAGTTCAATAACCTGTGTGATGCTTTCAGAAAAGTGAAAAATATACTTTACATTTCTAGTAAAATAATAACTTTATATTTAAGTTCACTATACCTCTTACCCCCATTTAAATGCTATAGTTAAGTTGGAGGGGAGTAAAATGCAAATTAGGGCACATAATAGTAATTTCACAGGATACTAAGTAAAAAAAATACAGAGACCATAATTTAACTTTACACTTTAAAAACTTCTCTTCAAAACTGTCAGAAGAAATATGCATCTGATATTACTATTTATGCAAAGGATGATTTAAATAGCAATATAACTGAATTTGGGACATGTGTGATTTTTTTTTTTCCTTTTTGTCTTTTTTCGTGTCCGGCAACGGATCGCAACCCTCAGTGTCGTGCCCGTACTGGACCGGGACCGGCAACGGGATCGCAACCCTCGGTGTTGCGCCCACACCTCGCTCAGCCAGTGAGCGGGGACCGGTCTGTATGTGGGATCCGAACCCTCGGCGGGAGTGCCACTGCGCTCCCAAGCGGCGCACTGTAGCAGGCCGGCCCAGGACATGTGTGATTTTATAACAGTTTTATGAGATAACATATATACTTTATTCAGTTACACAATGGACATTTTATTTTTTTTTTAATTTTTAACTTAATTTAATTTAATTTAATTTTTTTAAAAAGATGACTGGTAAGGGGATCTCAACCCTTGGCTTGGTGTTGTCAGCACCACGCTCAGCCAGTGAGCGAACCGGCCATCCCTATATGGGATCCGAACCCGGGGCCTTGGTGTTATCAGCACCGCACTCTCCCGAGTGAGCCATGGGCCGGCCCTACAAAATGAACATTTTAGTCTGGTACTCAGGCAAACTAAAAGTGTATTTAAAAATCACTTTACACAGGGCCGGCCCAGTGGCTCACTCGGGAGAGTGCGGTGCTGATAACACCAAGGCCCCGGGTTCGGATCCCATATAGGGATGGCCGGTTCGCTCACTGGCTGAGCGTGGTGCTGACAACACCAAGTCAAGGGTTAAGATCCCCTTACCGGTCATCTTTTAAAAAAAAAAAAAAATCACTTTACACAGATTTTTACACGTTACACGTTAAAACAGCTCCATTACTCACTTTGCTAGATATAAAGTGCATACACCACCCTGTTTAAGATTTGGGTATAAAACAGGCAAAGCAACTTGAGGATTTAACAGATCCAAATATACCTGTTGGGGGAGAAGGGGAAAGAGAATTGAATCAGTCTGATTCTGTTTAAATAAAGCATAGGTTTTCTTTTCTTTTTTAAAAAAAGATGACTTGGTGTTGTCAGCACCACGCTCTCAGAAGTGAGCGAACCGGCCATCCCCATATAGGGATCCGAACCTGAGGCCTTGGTGTTATCAGCACCACACTCTCCCAAGTGAGCCATGGGCTGGCCCAGGTTTTCTTTTCTTATTGTGGTGAAATGACACCCATTTGGAAAGCAATTAGCTAGTTAAAGTATTTCATTTGTTACAATAGTCCTATTAACTGTCATTTTACTGCTTCCCAAGGGTATGTTTACTATTATACAATCTGTCATCGTACTTGACTGTATATAAAAATCATAATGGTATGTCCTGCACTAGGCAATACTGATAATACAGGAATCTTTCTTTGACAATGTATGTGATTATGAATATAGTCAAAGAAAGATTCCTGTATTATCAATACCGCCAAGTGCAAGACATGCCATTACAACATAATACATTAAAACATATTTGAGATAATGTGAATTTCTACTGCCAAAATTTTATAAATTTAAATCTTTAGTCCAGCCTTGGCAATAAAAATTCATATTATTTCAAAAATGTTTTAATTTTTTATGTTCAAAGGAAAAGCTCTGGATATTAATTTTATAGGGTCTAATATACAAGAAACATGTCCCTTATTTCTTCCTTATTCTTTAATCAATTGCAGAGTTCAAGGCTATTTTCACAAAAGATGCCAAATAAGTATAATGAGTAAATAAATGATTGAAATTTTCAAATAAAAAATGAATTGAAAGCAAGTCTGGTCAAAATAAAAAATAAAGTAACATTTATTATTGAATAACTCCAGAAAGCTTAGAGTTGTTGGTGCATATATTTACTAAATGATAAATTATTCTTTGCTTATGTGTTTTTATTTATTTATTTATTTATTAATTTTTTCCTTTTTGTCTTTTTTCGTGACCGGTAATGGGATCGCAACCCTTGGTGTCGCGCCCGTACCGCGACCGGCAACGGGATTGCAACCCTTGGTGTCGCGCCCGCACTGCGCTGAACCAGTGAGTGGACCAGTCTCTATATGGGATCCGAACCCTCAGCGGGAGCGCCGCCACACTCCCAAGCGCTGCACTCTACCAAGTGCGCCACCGGGCCGGCCCGCTTATGTGTTTTTAAAACAGTATTACTGTGTCAAGGGACATCATTCATTATTAATTTATTCACCAAATATTTATTAAGCACCTTCTACATGCCAAGCGTTTTACTAAGTGGTAAAGATATAATGGGAATTTATATTCTATTTTGTTTCGTGAGAACTTATATTCTAATAAAGGGATAGACATTAAACAAAAATCCATTAAATACAAGGGTACTTCAAAAAGTTCATGGAAACACAGAATTGAAAGATAATACAGTACCAGCCAGCCACCAAAAAAAGAGATAGATAATACTTATCTTTCCATGAACTTTTTGGAAACACATAGGACAGAAAGTGATGAGTGACATGGAGAACTATAGAATTATAAAGCAAAATAAGAGGGACAGAGTGACAGGGCAGGGAAAGGAGGTTCCATTTTAGACATAGGTTAGTCAGTGAAGAAACCTGAAGAAAATGATTAGCTTACCCTGTGGAAATTTAGGGAGGAACAGTGCTCTAGGAGTAGAGAGTAGCAAATACAAATGCTGGAGGCAGCAGGCTTCCTGGGGAGTCTGAAGAGACAGAAGGGGGAAAGTGGTAAGAGATGAAGTCTAAGATAGTGGGGATGTGGTGGGACTAGGGGAGGGACAGATTATGGAAAATCCTGCAGGCTTTAGCAAGATTTTCTGTATACAAAGAGAAAAGCCACTGGAGAGTTTTAAAGAATGACATAACTTGATTTTTTTTTAACTTTTTTTGTGTGTGGTAAAAGAAATGTAAAATTTGCCATTTTAATCAACTTAACTGTACAGTTCAGTGGCATTAAGTATACTATGACTTATTTTTAAAATCTACATACAGGGTTGGTCGGTTAGCTCACTTGGTTAGAATGTGGTTCTGATAACGCCAAAGTCAAGGGTTCAGATCTTCTTACCAGACACCCACCAAACAATAAAAAAAAAAAAAAATCTATATGCAGAAAAGACAGTGAGAATGCAAGGATGGTGGCTTGCAATAGCAAACAGCAGTGGGTATGACATGGTATGTATTGCGAAGGTAAAGCCAATTAGAATTGGCTGTGGGATATGAGAAAAGAGAAGAGTCAAGATTGAATCCAGGGCCGGCCCGGTGGCGCACTGCTACAGTGCGCCGCTTGGGAGCATGGTGGCGCCTTCCGCCGAGAGTTTGGATCCCTCATACAGACCAGTTCCCGCTCACTGGCTGAGCGAGGTGCAGGTGCAACACCGAGGGTTGCGATCCCGTTGCCGGTCCCAGTCCGGTATGGGCGCGACACTGAGGGTTGCGATCCGTTGCCGGACACGAAAAAAGACAAAAAGGAAAAAAAAAAAAAAAAAGATTGAATCCAAAGTTTTCAGCCCAAGCCACTGAAAGAATGGAGATGTCAATTACTAATAAGGAAAATGATGGTGACTATGGAAAGAGCAAACTTGGGGGAAATAATCTAGAATCAGATTGGACATGAGTTTAAGATGCCTATCATATATCCAAGTAGGGATTTCAGTGACTGAATCAAAGGGTCGACATGATGGCATAAATAGGTTCTTAGACTGTAGTTTTACTATATTATTGACAAGGACCAAAATCAGATAACCAAGAAAACTGCTAATCCTCCTGAATGTTCTCTTTTCAATTACCACTCGCTCAGTCACTCAAACCAGAAACTTGGAGTTACTTTTTTTTTTTTTTTAAAGATGACCAGTAAGGGGATCTTAACCCTTGACTTGGTGTTGTCAGCACCACGCTCAGCCAGTGAGCGAACCGGCCATCCCTATATGGGATCCGAACCCGGGGCCTTGGTGTTATCAGCACCACACTCTCCCGAGTGAGCCACGGGCCGGCCCACGGAGTTACTTTCTTTACCTTGAATTCTCTTTTGAGAATCTGTGGGGTTTTGATGCTTCTGTGTGAGTTAAAGTCCCACAAATCTACCTCTTAAGTGTTTCTCAAATTAATCCTACTGCCACTGCAGTAGGTCAAGACCTCATCACATCTTGTTGAAATATTACAATGGTTTTCTTTGAAGACTTCCAGTTTCCATTCTTCCACCAGAATTATTCTAAAACAGGAATCTGGACATTCTACTGTCCTACTTAAAAATTTATCAATAGTTTTTCATTATCTACCAGATAGTGTCCATATGCCCTCGCTTAATATATACACATATTTTTCATTGTTTAGCCCCTTGTGACTGCATTTGCAGCTTCATCTCCTCATTGTACCTAATTCTACAGCCGTGGTATTTTATACTTCTGAGTAACTGCTGTTTATATGTCTATCTCTTCTTCTAGATTGAAAGCTCCTTTGAATGTATAATTCATTTTTGTTTTAGCACAGTACATGGCACATAGCAGATCCTTAGTAAATGCTTATTGAGTCAAGAAACTAAGTGGTTTGGTAATTCAGAGGAAGGTAATAATCCTCCAGCTAGATGATTAAGAGATATTCCATGCAGGAGATGACCTTTGATCTAAGCTTTGAAGGAAGAGTAGAATTTAAATAGGTGGAGAAAAAAGAGAAAGGAGGGAAATCATAAAGATGAAAACCATAGCTAACATTTATTTAATACTTTTTATGTACCAGGCACTGTTCTATGCACTTTATGTGAATTCTCCCATTTAACCCACAACAACTCTATGAAATAGGTACTATTATTGTTCATGTTTAACACATGAGCCAACAGGGGCACAGAAAGATCAAATAACTTACCCAAGGTCACATTCTCTATTACTGAGCCCAGCAGTGAACCAGGCTGAATAAACTCCAAAACCTATTTCCCTCTATTCCTTTCTCTTCCTTCTCAGAAATAGTCATTGTCTTGAAACTGGTAACATTCCCAAATAATCGTATAGTTTTACAACCTGTATCTACAGCTATAAACAGTACATGTTGTATACTTTAAATTTTACATATATGTGGCCGCTTCACACATATTCTTTTATAGTGCTCTTTTTCATTAAGCATCATGTCTTTGAGATTAATTCAGACATAGTATATTTATTGTTGGTATTTTATTGTGTCCATTCCTCTCCTGATGGTTAGTAAGGATGCTTCCAAAATTTGTTAAACCCTTTTTATTAGCCATTGTCTCTTTTTGCATTCTTGTTGTCTTTGTGGTTTAACATCTTTTTTATTCATTTACCAAATTTTGGTCGACAGGAGTATAGGCAGGTTACATAAAGGTCTGAAGTAGAAAGGAAAGTTGAAATCAGATTCGGAAGGATACCAAAAGTTTTTGAATGAAAAGCTTCTGATTGGTTTTTCAGCAGGACAGTGACAGGACCAGAAGTATAATTTAGAAAGATTAATCTAGAAATGATGGGAATGAATTGGAAGAGGGAAGGTCTAGAAGGTGAGATGGCAGCTAGGAGAGGAATTAAGTAGTCAAAGGGGGCAATAATCAACTAGGATAAAAGTAACCAGAAACAAAAGTGGTAGGAACATGAAAAGAAATTTATGTTTAATATATACCTTTTTATTTTTGATCAGGCACCTACCCTCAAGCAGTTCTTTTGCCAACTGATAATTTTTAGAGACTTTTTAAAGAAAAGAAAATTCTTCATAATCTAGCCTTTACTTTATAGTTCTATATTATGATTACTTTATTTATGAACACCAACTATAATTCTTTGGTCCTAACAGTATGTAACTTTCCCAGCAGTTCATACCCCTCCTCTTTCTATATTCTCTCATACTGAATATTCATCTGGCACTATTATTCAAGAAAGATTCAACTGAATAAATCTAATAAGTATTCTTTTTAGAATAGGAATGGTTCAACAGGTTTATACAAAGCTTCAACAATATTGTTTAAACCCTCTGTTGTGTTTCATGCTTATCAAGCAAAATTCTGATGACCAATTAATCTACTAGGTATTTTTGACATTCCTATAAATGGCGTAAGTAGAGCCCCTTCTCCCTTATTGACTGTAATATGCAAGCCAAACAGAGGTGAGGAAAAAGAACTGTGGTCTTTGTGTCCAGTAAGCTGTGCCACTAAAACTATACACTTTAGTCATATTAGAAATAGAAACCAGTGCTGATAAAAATAATTTTCGCTCCTCTTTGAACTTTGTTTCATCACCAAAATACTCCAACCTCCAAGCAGCCAATTGATGAAAGCAAGGAAGACTCTTGTCCCAGGCCTCAGTCAAACTATGAACTGCTAAGTGGCATCACCAAGGATAAGGCAGCTTATACTAGAATTCTGAAATTCTGAAGCCAGCTAATACCTCCTTGTTGCACGTCTCCACTGTCTCTGATCACAGCTTACAATATCATCCTCTCTTGTCTTCTTTCCTTCCATCTTCATACTACTCTGCTTCCCCCTAACTCAAACTCCTACTGCTCTTCTTCCTCACAAATCCTTCCAACCCTACTTTCTGGAGCTCTGTACATGATAAATGCCTCCATCTTCAACATCTTTAATGAATACTCCTCTCTACATCTTGACTTTAACTGTCTAAAGATGCCTCTTGCATATTCCCTTTCAAATGGAAGTTGGTGATTTCCCCAAATCTCACAACTGAAGTTAGGCGATATCCTCAATATTCTCCCAATACTGCTTCCAAATTATTTTTCCTTTATCCTGGAAATACCAACATTCATGATGCTCAACTATTCCTCCTAGTCTTTAGTCATTATCCACATTTATTGACAACCTTGGCACCTGACTTAGTATGTCTCTGCCCCAAATCTAATCATGATATTAAAGGAAAATAATCTTTCCACTCCTAGAGGCAGAAATGGGCCAAATAATGAAGATCCTTGCCCGTACGAAATAAGCCTGATCCTTGTTTTCTTTGTACTCAAAGTAATAACATAGGACCTACTTTAGAAAACTTACCACATTAAATGTTAAAGATTTTATGTCTTCACTTGCTCCTAAAATATCCTTATGAATAAAATCCACATTGTCTGGCCATTCTTCTACATGACTTATTTTCCATGAATCAAGCCAGTGTTTGTAATTCTTCTTAGCCAGATCATGGTGGTCTTTTCATATTTCAAAACTTATAACTCGTCCTTGTGATCCAACCTAAGTAAAAAATAATTTATGATATTTCATAGTACATATTAATTAGTTTATAAAAAAGTGTCAAAAATTTATTTTGCAAAGGTATTACACGTATGTGAAAAAATAATACAAATAGTTCATGGTTACAAAAGTCTCCGTCCCATCCCTGATCCCCAAGCAATCTCTCTCTCAGAAACAACCATATTACCAGTTATTTACCCTTCCCAGAAGAGTCAGTGCCTATCCAAGCATACAAGTATTTCTGTTTTTAATACACACTGTACTAACACACTGTCCTGCACCTTCCTTCTTACTTACTAATGTCATTTCAGGGATTATGGATGTCCTGCATTCTTTTTAACAGCTATTATACTCTATTGTATGACTATGCCATCATTTATTTAACCAGACACCTCCAGATGAACATTTAGTTTATTTCTAGTCTTATGCTAATATAAGCAATACTACAGTGGAAATTCTTGTGCCTAAGACTTTGTACTAGGAGCCAGTACACCACCATAGGATAAAGTTCTAAAAATGGAATTAATTGCTTGCTCAAGGGGTATGTGAATTTTTTATTTTGAAAAATATTAATGAATTGTCCTCCAAAAAAGTGGTACCAATTTGTACTTCTACCAACAATGTATCAGAGTGCCTATTTCTCCATACTCTCCCCTACAAAGTTATCAAACTTTTTATCTGTGTCAATCTAAAAAAGTGAATAAAGTATATCATTATGGTTTTAATTTGTACTACTTTTATTATGGATGAGGTTGAACCTGTCCTATATTCAACAAGTATTTGTATTTTCGTGTGCATCTCAAGAACTTTCAAACTGTTTAGCATAGTAATACTGCAGTTCCAGAGAATAGTACTACATTTTAACTTAAAGCAATTAACTTGCTGCCCACCTCTATCTGAGGTGATTTGATAGCATTTGGAGACTATCCTGATCAATCAGTCTATAGTTTATTAATGAAAAGTTTAAATTCCAGGATGTCTTTTGAAATGTAACTCCAGCTGCAAGTCCTTGTGTTCTCAGGGCATAAAAATTAATTTGTCGCATAAGCTAAACAATTGGAAAAGAAAAACATGAGGAAAGAGATCTCTATCCTAAAGGTAAATAGCAATAATTTCTTGCTCACTCATAGTGTGGGATTATTCATACCTTGACACTCCTCCAATACCATAGATTTTAGAGAATGGGCACTTCTCCTGTCTCACAAATTTTTATAATCTATTTTGTCAAATGAAAGAAAATTTAGGAATTTGTCACAGATTGTGAAGAAGTGACTGCCTTTAATTATGTACAGAAAAGAGTCAAACAAAAGATCTGAAGAGCCCAGCACAAATTTATGGACCGGGCATAACCTGGATTATATTTGTATGTGATGGCCTTAGGTCAAAGAACAAAAGGTCTAAGTCTAATTTCAGTATATTTCTAACTGTAATCTTTATAAAATCTTCCCAAAGAGAATGTGTTACTGTTCAGTGGTCTATTATGATCTAGGCATGGGAACACTGCACAGGAAGCCAGACGAGCAAAGCCACCCTAACACTCAGAGGAATTAGGTCGTCAAAGAGGGCACTAATCAACTAGGATAACGGTAACGAGAAGTACAGTGGTAGGAGCATAAAAATAAATTTATGTTTAATACATACCACTTGGCTTTTGATCAGGTACCTACCTTCAAGCAGTACTTTTATCAACTGACAATTTTTAGAGACTTTTCCAAAGAGAACTCTTCATAATGTAGCTTTAACTTAGATATTCTGTATTATGATTAATTTATGAACAACTACAATACCTTAGCCCTAACAGTATATAACTCTTCTGCAGCAGCTGATCATACTGAGTATTCACCTGGCACTATTATTCAACAATAAAGTGTACATGTTTATACCCTCAAAAAAGAGTACAAGAATGTTCAGAGCAGCACTATTGGTAATATTCCACTATTCCAACTCAAACGTCCATCAACAAAGTGGATAAATAAATTGTGATTTATTTATAAAATGGAGTACTATACAGCAACTAAAATGAAAGAGCTACTGCTATATGCAATGGCTAAATCTAATAAAAATAATGATGAATGAAGGAAGCCAGATATAAAAGAGTACATACTGTATGATTCCATTTATATAAGGTTCAAAACAGGCAAAACTAACCCATGGTGATAAAAGTCAGAATAGTGGTCACCCTTGGGGAGGAAAGAAACTGGGAGGTGACATGAGGAGATTTCTGTGGTGTAGGAACATTCCCTACTTTGATATGGGTAATAACTACATGAGTGTGGTCATTATATAATTATTCATTAAGGTATACACTTATGATCTGCACTCTTTTCTGTAGCTGTGTTTTGCTCCAGTAAAAAGTTTACTTTCAAAAAAAAAAAAAATGTTAGAATTCAAAAGCATGGAACAAGAGAAAACAAAGAAAATGGAGGGATAGATAGAGTGACTGAAAAAAATATACAAAACAGAAAGAAAAATAGTTACCTACATTTGGTTTTAAGGAGAATGCTCTCTAGCACAAAGTTATGCAAGCATTTTCCCAATTATCTTTCTCTCTTTAACTTTTCATTATTATGAACAAATTGAATGTTTTCTTTGTCATCGAGATCCATCTCACTTAACCTAGTATCTTACTTGCTTTTGATAAAAATAAGCTCATTCCTACAGAGCCTGAGCCAGCTTCCAAAACAGTATCACCTGGGTTGAAATTCATCATCAGCAGTGTCATACTCAGACCCTATGATTGAAGCACAGTATGAGAGACTCAGCAACCAATACGTATGTACTGAGCACCTATCTGTTGTTGTTGTTGTTGTTTTTTTTCCTGTGTTTAGCTGGTATGGGGATCGAACCCTGGACCTTGGTGTTAACAGCACCACACTCTAACCAACTGAGCTAATCGGCCAGCCCCATCACCTACCCTTATACACTATGTTGAACATGGAGAAGGGAGGAAAAAAAGGATTAGACTCTGGCCCTGCCTACAAAGAGCTTCTGCTTGATGAAGTAAGAGAGATTCAAGAATCAATTAGCAAATAAGGCAGCACTTCAGAATAATACTAAAATTATAGACAATCGGGCCGGCCCGGTGGCGCACTGGATAAGTGCGCCGCTTGGGAAGCGCGGCGGCGCTCCCGCCCAAGGGTTCGGATCCCACATACAGACCGGTTCCCGCTCACTGGCTGAGCGAGGCGCGGGAGCAACACTGAGGGTTGCGATCCCATTGCCGGTCCCCGGTCCGGTACGGGCGCAACACTGAGGGTTGCAATCCGTTGCCGGACATGGAAAAAGACAAAAGACAAAAATAAATAAATAAATAAATAAATAAATAAAAATAAAATTATAGACAATCAGTATAATGGGAGCTCAGGGAAAGAAGAAAGCAGCAGACTGCCCAGCTCAAAGACAAATAGAAGAGAATTTAAAGAAACAGTCACAAGGTAGGAACAGCTTTAAACAAAGCGGAGGGAGAATAAACACAGTTTGCTCATTGCAGGAAGAGAGATAAGGAGAGGTTTAAATGCCAGTCTGAGGCTTTGAACTTGGCCTGGTAAGCAACTTGGGAGCATGTCACCGAGGTGATATAAAGGCATTTTATGAAGATTAATCTGGCAAGGGAATAAGGATACACTAAAGAAAAATTAGAAGCAGGAAGACCAGTTAGGAAGCTGTTAAAGCTCTCTGTGAAATGATGAACTTCTAATTTAGAATTAAGATATTAGGAATAGACCAGAGGACCCATTTGCCAAACACTACAATCTAAGAATTGTTTTTGTTAGTACAACAGGAATATTATAGAAAACAGTAATAAGAGCTGTTTATTGAAACTTTACCACATGCCAGGCTTCTGTAACTGTGCAAACTGCTTTCATACATTATCTTGTTTAATCAGAATAATAATATGAGAAAAGTATCATCATCCTTATTATAAAGATGAGAAACTAGAGGTTAAGTAATTTACCCAAGGTCACATTGCCAGGAATTAAGTGGGAAAGTCAGGAGTAGAATTGATGTTGAACTCCAAAGATCACATTGCTGACCATTACTCTACACCAAATGTTACAGAGAGAATTTTAAATCAGCATTTATTTCAATATTCCCCCAATACCAAATCTTCAAAAGTTGCTATTAAGCAGCACATCCAACAAGTTTTTACCGTCTTTTCCTTCTCTGGGAAAAGCTGCTTGCGAAAATTCTAAAAGGAGGAGGTTTCTAGGGTCCTTTTGTCCAGTCATAACAAAATTGTGAATTAAGTATAGTTTTGATTGCAAAAGTAAATATTTAACTGGTATAGTCATCTAATTAAAAGCCAAAATGTATTCTTCTGAAATGCTGGACTAAGGCTTCAACCAAATGACAGACATATAATTTTTAAGATGTATTAGTCAAAAAGTTTTGTTCACAAATGTTTAGTCTTCTTCTCTCCTATGTACTGGGTCCCTTGCTTGGAGTAGAACTGGAAAGTGGGCAGAGACAACTTCACGTAGGAGTAGGAGGCAGCTTGGGCAGTCATTTCAATGGAATACCCTAGAGAAGGTTGTTCCATTTTCTTGGATATTTCATAGAAGATACAGAAACCTGGTACATTATAAAATAAAAAAACTGGAGCACACTTTAGTTTTTGCTTCCTGCCATTCATTCAAGTTACAAGTTCTCAACAGAGTGAGTTTTCTAGATTGGATCCCACTAAAGACATGGTGAGACATTAGCTTTTATTCATTTCTCTGCCTCCTTCCAAAAAGGACTTGAGGCTGCTGGGAGACTTCTCCAGAGTTATGAAATATCACTCTACTACTGAGTTTTCTACAGTTTTAAAACTTCAGGGTTTGGTTTTTTTTGTAGAGGTAATCAAGTTATAAAACTTCAGGCTGTCAAACAACCCTTTTAGACTTACATTTTTTTTCTGCAACAGGAATTCTAATCTCTTCCCTAATTAATCCAAAGCATAAAATCTAATCCTCAGACTAAGGTTTTTTATTTTTCCTTCTTAACCTAAGATTTTTTTTTCCTTTTTGTCTTTTTTACTGACCGGTAATGGGATCGCAACCCTCAGTGTCGCGCCCGTACCAGGGACCAGCAACAGGATCGCAACCCTCGGTGTTGAGCCCGCACCCCGCTCAGCCAGTGAGCGGGAACCGGTCTCCACATGGGATCCGAACCCTCGGCGGGAGCGCCACTGCGCTCCCAAGTGGCGCACTCTCCAGTGCGCCACCGGGCCGGCCCTTAGCCTAAGATTTTAATTGAGCTGCAATTTAGTTATTATTAAGTGGCAACAATTTCTACTATCCAATTGTCCTTATATAAGTGTCATAATTATGCAAGTCAGCAGAAAAGATTAATTAGAAAATATGACTACTGTTGCCATTTCTATTTCTACTCCAAAGCTAAAAGTGCTTGATATTGACCAATGTGAAATGTTGACATTTCAGAAGTAATTGTTAGGAAGTTAATGTAAAATTGTTCTCACTGACCTATTTTTTACATTAAGACAAAACTATGTACAGTTGCCCCTCCATATCCGTGGGTTCTGCAACACTGGATTAAACCAACCATGGATCAAAAATATTTTTTTTTAAAAACTGCATCTGTACTTAACACATAAAGACTCGTTCTTGTCATCATTCCCTAAACAGTACAGTATTATAACTATTAAACAGCATTTACATTGTATTAGGTATTATAAGTAATCTAGAGATGATTTAAAGTGTACAGGAGGATGTGCGTAGGTTATATGCAAATTATACGCCATTTTATATCAGGGACTTGAGCATCCACGGATATGATTACCATCTACAGATACCAAGGGACGACTGTAATTCTAACGGGGAAATCGGCTTTTAAAAATCATTTGAGGTATTCCCTCAAAAAGCATTTCAAAGTTGTAAAGGTTGAAGTCAAATTTCCTGCAGCCAGTTTTGGGAGACAAAAAGAAAAGTCAACACCTAGCAAGTCCATTTAAATTCCTCCACTGAGTGGCACACCATGACTTTCATTTGTGACAAACGGAAAGACAGTGCTTTAAAGTTATATCTTTATAAATTCTCAGTTTTGTCTAGTGGGGATAAAAAAGACATAATGAAGCAAGATGAAATCCCAAAAGTCTTTTATTATGACTAATACTTTTAGTCTTAAGGGTAGAGAAGTGATGGAGACAATGAAAGTTTCCGTCAAGAGTTTATGATACCCCATTATCCTAAAGCCCCTGGGGGAAGGTTTTCTTAGTCCCTGGCTACACCTCTTCAAATCGGATTCCTACTTAGAACATTCCACTGGTTCCCCACTAGACATAGAATAAAATTCTCTCTCCAACCGCATCCCATATCAGGTCCCTCCCTCACCTGACCCACTCAGGCCACAATAAGAACTCTGCAATACTTCTCCCTTCACAAGAACGCTCTGCTTCTAGGTCTTTGTAAGGCTGGCTCCTCCTTATTTAGGTTTCCTATCAAATGTACCTCCTTGGAGACCTTCTCTAATCACCCGACATAAGTGTTCTCCTCCCCCAGCCCACCCGACACAATGTCATTGTTAATCTATTTGTTTTCATGGTACTTAGTACTACCTTGTTCTTTCATTTACTTGTTTGTTTTTTGCCACCCCCTCTAGAATGTAAGACCTATGTTGAGAGCAAGGACTAAAACAGTGCCTTGAATATAGAAGGTGGTCAATTACAGTATTTGCTGAATAAATAATGAATGAATCCTCATCTGGAGAAAGGAGTTGTGTTACAAAGAGACATTCTACTCAAGGACTGTTGACTAATTAAGGATTGAAATAAACCACTAGCAATAGGCGATTGGTATACGATTGAAACTAGGAACTAGGCAGTTAACTCATTTACAAAGAATACTCGTTTCATGTATGGTATTTAATGTTAGCTGTTAATACTAGACTTTTGTTTTTTTCCTAAATGGAAAAGTATAGTAATAATATCTAGTGTTGCTAAAATACATCTCTAGTAGCACGCCTTATTAAACTAAATATGATTATTAAAATGCCTACTACAAAATTGTCCCCCCAAAAGTTCAACATTCTCTTGATTTCTGAATTTGCAAACTTAAGAGTAATGGGGAACAAATATAAGTACTCATTATGTGCCTAGTGAGTCCACATCACTCTAACAGCAAGTTGACATTCTCTGCATTTTACAGATTAGGGAATTGAGAATCCCAAGTCAAAATTAAAATCTGGTTTATTCCTCCTCATGACAAGATACGTAAAAGCCATGTTCATTGGTTTATTTTTTAAAAAGTTGGGAACGATAAAAAATTCAAACGTTCCGTGATGTGCTTAATCAGGACTGTCGTACTGCATCTGTCTTTGCTTTCTCGAACCAATACCACCTAATCCCCACCGCATTACCTTTGGATATGTTATGGCAGACACTCTTTTCATCAATAGTGCATAGTCTTCCAATGTCGGCCTCCTCAGCATGACCTGCTTACCAGAGGAACTCCTGAGTATCTGGCCGTGGAACTTCCCCACGATCTCGCTGAACGCGACTGACCCCCAGTTACTATTTAAGTATCCGGAATTGCTCGACTTAAACAATTTCTTAAATTGTGTTTCTCTCTTCCCAGTCTCAGCTAAAATCAGCTCCCCAGCCCGAAAGGGTCCCTCTCTGGAAGTTGAGCAGGAAGGGGAGACACAACGTTCTTCGACCTCGGTCGCGGACTGGGCCAGGGCGAGCAGCGAGGGACCCCCCGGACCCCTGGAGTGCGGGATCGGACGGACCCTGGTCTCCGCCAGAGTCCTCGCGCCCTCGAGGGGGTGACTCCCCCTCCGGCATGGGCAGTCTGAGGCTTTCCAGTGATGAAAGGCATCTGGTCCCAAAGTCCGAGACGCGAAGAGGGAGAGAAGGGGATAATTCTGCGCCTGGGGCTTTCGTTTGCGCAGCCTCGCGCTCTCCTTTTCCATTTCGCGTCTCTAGTCGAGGACTCGCTACACAGGGACCGGGATCCCTCAAAGAGCTCTCGTCCAAGACCTCGGAGGAGTGAACGGCTTTCCAGCCCGGACAGCCTCCCGAGAGCTGGTAAGGCCAGCTCGCGGGGCCTTCCGGCCAGCATGGTGCCGTGCGCAGGCGCCGTCGCAGACCCGTGACGTAAGCCGGGAGAGGCCCCTCCTCTCGCTGCCTGTCGCACTGACGCAGCCGCGATGCCCCCAGGAACTGGAAGAGTTCCGCTACTGCAACTGCGACTGCGCCTGTGTCCCGGGGAGGGGAGGGCAAGGCGGTAGGCAGAGCTGTGGGCGCGGGAGCTGCGGGGTCCTCGCTGAGTAGCTGTCCCAGTAGCATGTTCCGCTCACGCGCGGGGGCCCATTTTCCACGTGGGAGTGTGGGCAGAGTAAACAATTACAGCTGATAAATCTCCGCGGGCATCGCCCGGGAACAGGAGAATTAAGAAAGACAGAACTTGGGGCCGGCCCGTGGAGCACTGGGGAGAGTGCGGTGCTTAGGTGCGCAGCAGCGCTCCCCCCGCGGGTTCGGATCCTATATAGGGATGGCCAGTGCGCTCACTGGCTGAGCGCGGTGCGGGCGACACCAAGCCAAGGGTTAAGATCCCCTTACCGGTCACATAAAAAAAAAAAAGAAAGAAAGAACTTGTCAAGGCGCTGCGTGAACTGTGAAGTCGTATACCAGGCTCAGCTCACTAGTAATCGTGACATGAACGTCCTCCGGTCCCCCTAGAATGCATAAGTACGACCAGCCCGGAGATGCGTTTGACGGACGGCCTGGAACGCGCCGCCCCTGACCCCTTCTTTGCCAATTGACTGCAACATCCTTCCCCAAACCCCAGCGAGTCCCTTTTGAGTGGGCTGTAACCACCCGCCTGCCCCCACCCCCACCCCCACCCCCAGATGATCCAGGAAGAGCGATTAAAGTGACAGTATTCACTGTGCTTATTCAACAGATTTTTTTTATATTTAAAATACAGCATTTAGTTAACTAAGTATTTTACCCTCCCAAAAACTAAATAGAAGGATCTTAAAACGGGAAGGGGTATCTTTAGAGTCTGAAGTCATTTAACATTAAATATCACTAACTGGTTTGCTTAATATTAGTTCACGTGGCAAAAGTTTATTAAGGGTATGGCAATGCCAGGGACATTAAATCCTATTCAAGTTTACAACAACTCTCTGTTAGAAGTAAGTATTCCCATTTTACACCTAAGAAAACTGACCCAGGGAGGTTAAACGATTTGGGAAAGGTACCATATCTGACGAGTGGCCTGGCAGGATTTCCTCCTTAGGTCAATCTGGTTCAACAGCCCATGCTCTTTGAACTGTAACACCCTTTAGAAAGACTGTTCAACAGTACAGTTGGATTTAGAGTTATAGTGGAAGTATGTTCAAAGGACTATGAATTCAGTATGAATTTGGTTTAAATTTGATAAAGTAAATGAATTTTGTTATTTCTTTTTTTTTTTTTTGTCAGCTGGCTGGTAAGGAGATCTGAGCCCCTGACCTTTGTGTGACAAGGCTGTACTCTAACCCTGAGCTAACCAGCCAGCTTGTTATTACTAAGACATAAATTAATACTTTCTAATCTGTGCTTTCTAGGATTATCAGCCACCATAAACTTCATCATCAGGATTTCTCTCTTTTAATTCTACGAATGAATAAAGAAACTGCTCTTTCCCCAACTGCATGTCTCACTTTTGGTTTGGTCTTTTTTTTTTTTTTTTTAAAGAAAAATTCTTATAACCAATCTTTTCCAGGAGCCTAGGGCTTTTCTCACTGTCTTTTCTCATTGTAGCGTTCTTTAGAGAAAAAGTCATTCTTGGATATCAAGTTTTTGAAATTAAGAAGATTATCATTGCCAAATATGGACCTGAGTTGGAACCTCCTCAATTCTAAACGCTATGGTGGCTTTTAAATGGAAAATTCCTGCTTTATTATCTCAAATATTATTAAATGATACTTGACTTATTTCAGAAGAAGCAATTGGAAAAAAGAAGATATATTGACAAAATATGGGAAGAAAATTGGTGTATCTTTGATTTTTGAGATAAACTGTAAACAGAAAATAACATCCCTTTCTTTCCATTGTTTGAATAACAGACACAATGTTATAAATATTTTGTTCTATACATGTGATAAAGTACATTGATAAATTTTGAAAAATTATTCCTTATTTATTTACTGTCTTTCAGAGCATTTAAACTCTCAAAAGAAAAAAGTCATTGTGTGAGCCTTTCTATTTTTGGTTCTTCCTTTGCTTCTGTCTTCCCTGTGAAATTGTCAATCTGCATGCTGAAACTATTCTCTGAATTCATCATCAACTCATGTTTACATTATGACATAAGGCCAAGAAAGAACTGTTGTTATAGTCAGGCAATTACTTTAAAGTCCAAACAGCTGTCAAGAAATCCTGTGGCTTGATAGCTGACATTTTAAAATCTCCAGTCTAACTAGACCACTGGTTCCTGTTCCACAAATCTTCTCTAGCTCTTTGCATGTGCTTCATCCTTCTATTTCGTATAACTCCCCCTTGTCCTTCGGGTATCAACTTCACATTACCACCAGCATGGTGGCTTATACTGACTCCAAAAAACTGGATAAGTGCCTCTCCTTTGTGCTTTCAGTGGGCCCTGTCTTTAGACCTATCATGGCACATGTTATACTGTATGAAAATTGCTCTTTATTTACCAATTCCCGGGTTTGAGGATATGACTGTTGAGGAGAGGACTATGTCTTTCCATCGTTATAATTCCAGTGCCTGGCACACAATAGGTCTTCAATAAATATTTGTTGAATAAAGGAAGGAGGAAAGCAGGAAATGTGAAAACCAACAGCCCTGATATCTACTCTTCTATATATCTACTCTTCTACATTAAACAATTCAATGTGTAAACATGTCCAATTATATCTGTTATTACATATTTTGTTCTGTATCTGCACATTTATTTAGTTTTTACACTCACATTGTGAGCCATCATTTTAGAATTTCAAGAACTGATTAGTCCTCCTTCAGATTCCTCTCCTGAAGAAGATCTTGGATCTTCTTTCCTCCTCCTCAGGGTCCTTCTTTTGGAGAATGAGCTGACTCCTCACCTCCATCCCCACCACCCTCCTGCTGGTCAGCCTGGCCCACAGAGGACATCTGCACTGGGCCTCTTCTTTTCACTCTTCGTCTCTTTCTCAGGTACTCCAAACTCACCCTGTAGAGCTCAACAAGTCCTCCGGTTTTTAAAGTTATTTGTGAGGCATTTCAACTTTGTGTTTATGTTCCCTCTCTTTGTTTACTACTATGGTTTGAATGTTTGTCCCTTCCAAAGCTTGTGTGGAAGTTTGTTCCCCAGTGTGGCATTGTTGAGAGATGGAGCCTTCAGGAGGCAATGGGATTGTGAGGGCTGTGTCCATATGAATGGGTTAATTGACTCATAGATTAATGGGTTAATGGATAAGTATCACGGAAGTGGTGCTTGTGGCTTTATAAGGAGAGGAAGAAGCATGTTAGCGTGCACTCACTGAGCCTTTGCCTTGTGATACCCTGTGCCACCTCAAGACTCTGTAGAGGCTCCCCACCAAGAAGAAGGCCCTCACCAGACGCACCTCTCAACCTTGGACTTCCCAGCCTCCAAAACTATAAGAAATAAATTTTATTATTATTTTTTAATAGATTACCACTTCAGGTATTCTGTTACCAGCAACAGAAAGTAGACTAATACATTCACCAAACTTATAATGAATACACATAAATTTTAGAGGAGTTTGATTATTTTAAGTCTTAAAACCTTGGGAAGATCCATTCATCTATTCATTCATCATTCATTCACTTTGTATAATTGGCTCCTAACCATGCATATCTCACCTCAAGAGGACTTATCCAAACACCCAGGACAAGTGCTGTTCTACTGTTCTTCTATCTATTGCTGTTCTTTGTTTTGTTTTGTTTTTACACAATTGTACTCAAACCCTTTTCCTTTCTTTTTCTCTTTACTCTTTTCTCATACTTTCTCTTTGTATTGTAGATTATGAATGAGCATAAACAATAGTAAATGCTTTGGGTCACACCTTAGCAGGACCATGTACAAATCTCACCAGTGTGAACTTCCATACTGTAACAAATCTTGCCTGAATAAGTGATTCTAGTTTGTGCTATGTAAAGTCAAACAATTTGGTAAGGTTGCATATTAGTTAGTATACTAATAGGAAGGTAGGAAATTCAGGGTTAAGGTGGCACTCTGTCTGATGTGTTAGGTAATCCTGAGTGTAGTCTCCATTCTAAAGTTTACCTCATAGATCAAAATGGCTTCCCATGCTCTAGCCATCACATCCCAATCCCAGTCAGTAAGAAGGGGGAAGAGGGAAGAAAGTCATGCCCTTTTTCTTTAGAAACACTTCCCTAAAATGCACATATCACCTCTGTTTACATTTTATTGACCAGGACTTAATCACATGGCCACATCTAGCTGCAAGGGAAGCTGATATACTTAGTTTTTATTACATCTGGACATATGTAAGCTAAAAATCTAAAATTCTATTACTACTGAAGAAGGGAGCAATGGATTTAAGGGCAACTAGCATTTTCTCTCACAGGTGCATACTAGCTAATTTAGGCAATCTCCTTCTAATGAGTGTGTTGTATTCCTAAACTGTAGCTATAAATAAGATATTTGCAATCTGGTGTCAATACTGGTTATATTACCATGTCTGCTCAAAAGCCTATTTAAGGGTAAAGTAGCTGAAGCGATGTTAATTTTTAAAAAGACAATGGAAAACTGTTAACAAGACCCTTGTATCTTTTTAAACAAAAAATTAAATATAAAATCCATATTTTCAACTGTCTGCTAGACACCACCACCTACTAACATGCTGGTACTTCAAACTCAGCATGGCTCAAACTGAACTAACTCATCATTTCCGCCTTTGCTCTGTTCTTTTGTTCTTCCAGTGCCCTGGAACCCTGGTTCTGTATCAGTTTAAATTACATGATTTTCTGTTATTTTTAGACCACAAAAGTTTCAAGTCACCTGTGATTCTTCTCTCTGAAACTCTCTTTCAACACAGATGGATGGATAAACACTTACACCTTCTGGTCAGTGGCCCCTTCTTGTGGATTTTTTCCCCCCAGTTCCGTTAGACACCACCTTAGGCAGACATCTTCCTCACACTCTGTGATGATTAATGTTAGGTGTCAACTTGACTAAATTAAGGAATACCTAGAAACCCAGTAAAGCATTATTTTTGGATATGTCTGTGAGGGTTTTTTGCCAGAGGAGATTGGCATGTGAGCTTGATGGACTAGGTGGGGAAGACCTGCCCTCAATATGGGCAGGCATCATCCAATCTGCTGGGAGCCCAGAGAGAACAAAAACAGAGGAGAAGGCAAATGTCTCTCTCTATCTACTGGAGCTAGGATACACTCTTCTCTCC